AAATCCATCTAATTTTAACCAATTTGACTGTAAGTTAAGATTTTTATAAACCTTTTATAACCTTTAACTTTTATATCCACTCAATTTTTAATGATCATTTATATTGAATTTTAAAGTAGTTCCAAAAACCAAATTAGACAACATTGTCTTTTAACAAAACTAATACTTATGTCTTATAACATTTTTTATTAATTGAAATTAAAACTATGCAATGTGTGAAATATTCATTTACTTAAAAATAATAATCCCATTACTTGTTAACATAAATAACATTTTTTATTAAAATAATTGTATTTCTCAAAACAAAAGCAAATTTGATGAGAAGAGTGGCATTGTTTTACATTTCTGCAAATCTCTTTTATATCTGGCTTAGGAGAAGACAGCTGGATCCTCTGTCTTCCTCTGCATTCCATCTATTGCAATAGCTTGTTTTGGTCGCAGTACATGGAGAGAATCTGGCCTTAAACAGACATGTAATTAGAAAATGAAGAAGAATTTTAATAGCCTTTCAGAAATTTGTGAATATTTTTTGATACTAAACTAAAACTCCACAAGTGGTAGTTTCTTAAAGGATAGTTGAAATTTGGAATCTGGAACCAGATCAATGAATATTTCATACTCAGTTATATTAAAATCCATTGGTTATCATGCACTTTGAATGGATATTTTATCCACACATAACTTTGTAACATCATGCATTGGTCATTTAGAATATATTGGTGCACTAAGCTATAAAGATCTTCCAAACAAGGATACATTTCATTATACAATATTGAAAAAGTCACATTCATTAATATGCCACTGATCTCTTAAGAAAAAGTCTTTATGCTTAGGGAGGTTTTCAAACTTATTGCAGAGAATTTAAGTTTTCCAAAATTCAAATTTTTGCACAAAACCTTGAATTTTATCATAGGCAACAAATAACGTCAGTTAATTTCCTTAAAGAAAACATTTTTTTTGAGAAAAACGTCTGCCAAATACTCAAGTCTGAATAACCAGAATCTGTCATTCTTTCAAGTGAACATGATCTTCCATGAAAAAAGTAGCTAATTTAGATCACAACTCAAACCATCACATGCGTTCTTTTCCTTGAGGCAACCGTTATATTTCAATACAGAAGTAAAGTGCTTTATGGTATTCCATTTCCTCATTCAAAATATTGAAATGGCTTGTACTTAAAGTTTGACATTTAATAAAATGAATAAATTTTATTCCTTCATCAAGGGCATTCTTAAGTGACTCTGGAATCTTTTCTAGTAAGTGCATGGAGATGAAAAATAGATTACTAAAATAGTTTGGTGCCCCAGCCTTGATTTGTGTCAAGATGCCAGCAATTTTAGCCACTGTTTTCCATTGCTGTGTAGCAAAGTATTTCAACACTCATTTATTAGCTAACAGTCCTATGGGTCAAGGAGGTGGGTCATGCGTGGCTGGGTTCTCTGCTTAGGTTCTTACGGGCCTAAATCAAGATGTCGGCCAGGCTGCATTCTCATCTGGAGCTGAGGGTCTTCTTGTAGGTTGCAGCAGAATTAAGTCCCTTGCAGTTGTAAGACTGAGGTTCCCACTTCCTTGCTGGATGTCACTGTAGCCACTCTCAGCAACTAGAGGCCACCCATTTTATTTGTCTCTATCTTTAAAGGCAACAATGGAGAACTTTCTCACACATCAAATCACCCTTGTGTTGCAAATCTCTTGTAACAGGAAGGGTCCTTTAAGTTCCTTTTAAGGGTTCACATCATTAGGTCAGACCCAACAGACAATCTCCTTTTTTATAAACTCAAAATCAACTGATTAGTAAACTAAACATGGGAATGATATCCCATCATATTCACAGGTTGTTCCCACACTCAAGGTTAGGGGGTTATTCAAAGTGTGCGCACCAGGAAGCAGGGGCCTTGGGGCTCTGAGAATTCTGCCTACCATAGCCACCATTGCTTCTGCACCATTAATGCAAATGTCAAGCACAGTGAAAGAGGCACAGAATGGCTCACTACTATTGTGAAAATAGTTCTGACCTTGCAGATCCCCTGAAAATGTTTCAAGTTCCACCAGAGATCCACTGCTCTAGATGATTTCTAAGGTAAATGTATCTACTCAATGAAAGTGACTCTAAGGAAAAAATTTTTTTTCTGTTTTACCCATTATGTTTGATAAATATTGGGTAAATTATATTAAAAATATAATGTTCGTTACAAATATTGCCCCACTTATTAAATAGACTCTTTATAATTTATAACTCAATTTAAAGAAAAAAAATACCAGTCAACTTGACTGGCTTAAGGGATACCCAGATAGCTAGTAAAACATAATTTCTGGGTACGTCTGTGAGGGGGTGTCTGGAAGAGATTAGCATTTGGGAGTCAGAAGATAGCCCACACCAGCTATCATTCAATCCCTTGAGGGCCCAAAATAGAACAAAAAAGGCAAGAAAGGGTGACTTCACTCATGCTGCAGGGGCTAGGACATCCATCTTCTCCTTCTGTCAGGCACCAGAACTCTAGGCTCTTGGACCTTTGGACTCCAGGATTTACACCAGCAGCACCCCAGTTTCCCAGATGTTCAGACTCAGGCTGAATGACGTCACTGATTGTCCTGGCTCTCCAGCTTGCAGGTGGGGCATCATATTGTGGGACTTCTTGGCCTTCATAATTGCATGAGCCAATTCCCATAATATGTCTCTTATATATTCATGTGTACCCTATTGATTCTGTTTCTCTGGAGAACCCTAATACATATCATTTTTCATATTAAAGCAACAATCAACTGTTACTATTCATGGACAGTGCTGGGGGGCTGCA